GTGCATGATAAATCTCTTTCCCCATATCCGTTTGTAAATTTTTCGGACATCTACTCTCTCGAACGATCTCACCGAGCGATAGCGTTAGCTGTATCGCTTCCACCCTTGCTCTTGAGTGGTACGGCCCACGCGCATTTGCTCAACACATCGACGGTGAGTATGTAGTGGTGGCCTCTGTTGAAACCCGAGTACGGGCGCATCTCAACGACATCAGCCTGCCACAGATCGTCGTATCCTCGAACTATGATGCGCCTTCGCGGAAAATTTCTTCTCGCAGAAGCGTGCAATTCCTCGATGAATCGACATCTCTCGGGGCTAATTTTCTCTCTCTGTTTCTCAGATTTCTTTTTCATAATTCGACGCGTAATACATTGAGTACGAGAAAATAATATATTTTTTCTCGCTAATGTTACTTGACTGAATCGTTTCATGGATACGCGATTTAATTTATAATAAGACCAGCTTCGCGAAGTTCCTCGATGATCGACAGCCTCTCGTTGTCGGGAGCGCTCGGTGCGAAGCGTCGAGCAATTGTAGACGATCCACCAGCTCGTTGGGTTCATCCCAGTGCTTGTAATCGATCGCGTTGTCGTTCAATGTCATTGCATGAGGTAATCCCTTTCCAGATTTCTTCTTCTGTTTCTTGGGTGTGATCGACATCATCGGCGCGATTACGTGTACTTGTATCCCCTGTTGCTTAATAATCGACCCTGCGAATGGTATTTGTGTTTGTGCGCGTTCGTCACCAACAGCATGCTCTTGCACTTATGACATATCGTCTTCCGTGTAGAGAATATCGTCGGGAATTCTCTTGAAAATCAACTCGTAAAGACCAGGTGTACCGGCGTATCGAACGCCGTCGATAATTATGTTGTCCGCGTCATCCATGTCGAAACGTTTATTGCCAAACCATCCTTGTGTAGATAAACGCCGTACACGTGATCTATACCGCTCTCTTTATCTTGCACTCCCCTCAGAACAGCCTCGACGTACTTTTGCCCCAGCGGGCCCAAGCCAGCTCGTAACGCATCTTTCGACGTTTGCAGCTGATTTTGAATTTCGTCGATAGCGAGTTTTTCGTCGTTCCGAAAACGTTCTCCAACAACTCTATCATCGGTATGATTTTGGCACGCGGTGTGAAAGTTATTGGCTGTACATGATCGTGCGATCGATCATTGGATTTATGCAGAGTCGTGGAACGCTCGAACATCTCGTTCGCTTCTTCTCCCTCTTTCTCTTGTTCTTCTTCCTCCTTCCTCTCACGTTTAGAGGCAGTCGTTGCGCGACTCTCTTTTTGTAGCGCGCACGCTGGGGCTGTCGACGAAAAGTTGCAGCGGCTCGATAAGAGGTTTAAAATGTCCAACGCGATGCCCTCCTCGATTCTACCGGTCTTCAGAGCGCGATGTTTCTTGCGGATCGACTCGCTCGTCTTCTCGATCTCCCTCGCGATTTTTTCACGCTCGCGCACATTCGCCATGTTCGTCTCTGGCTAAGTATCGGTAACGACTGGTCACGTTACGGTATCGCGAACTCGTTAAATCCTTTTCTATATCGTCCGTTTGTGAGCTTACTGTCTTTGTCTATCACTAGAAATCCATATTTTTGCTGCCAACAGTCGCTGCACAACGTGCAAAATTCATCGTACGACATGTCGGTATTCACATGATCGTTGTAAACATGTTTCAAGTTGGTACCGTCCTGAACAGGATCAGCAGGTTCACATTGTCGCGTATCAGATGTTTAGGTATCTTTGCGTACATCTGACAGAGATAGAACCAGTCGACGTTCGCGTGGCGACCCATCGAAAAGTATTCTCTCACCGCATCCTGCTTGTCGCATGCCACGTCATCAAAGATAAAAATAGAGTTTGGACGCGCCTCGCTCAGTGGAACGACGTCGCTGTTGTTGGAGAACGTAAAGTAGCCGATTTCATCGATAGACGTAAACAAATTTTCGAGATATCGATACTTTGGCTGTTGCAACGATTTCGAGTAGACGTACACGTTTTCGAAACGTACGCCGTTCGGGCTCTCGAGAAAGCTTATGAGAATGTTGGTCACATTACGGTATCACGAACTCGTTAAATTCTTTTCTGTATCGTCCGTTTGTGAGCCCACTGTCTTTGTCTATCACTAGAAATCCATATTTTTGCTGCCAACAGTCGCTGCACAACGTGCAAAATTCATCGTACGACATGTCGGTATTCACATGATCGTTGTAAACATGTTTCAAGTTGGTACCGTCCTGAACAGGATCAGCAGGTTCACATTGTCGCGTATCAGATGTTTAGGTATCTTTGCGTACATCTGACAGAGATAGAACCAGTCGACGTTCGCGTGGCGACCCATCGAAAAGTATTCTCTCACCGCATCCTGCTTGTCGCATGCCACGTCATCAAAGATAAAAATAGAGTTTGGACGCGCCTCGCTCAGTGGAACGACGTCGCTGTTGTTGGAGAACGTAAAGTAGCCGATTTCATCGATAGACGTAAACAAATTTTCGAGATATCGATACTTTGGCTGTTGCAACGATTTCGAGTAGACGTACACGTTTTCGAAACGTACGCCGTTCGGGCTCTCGAGAAAGCTTATGAGAATGTTGGTTTTACTACAATTCGACGGGCCGCAAATGATCGCGCGTATAGTACTCGGCAGCATTTCGCCGTGCTTGCGCTTCTCCACGCTGCCTCCCATTCGCGATTTCGCAGTTCGTGACGCGTATCGATAACGGTTGCAGCACGAATTTCATGTTCACACTAAGGCTAGTCGCGCTCTCGAACGACTATTTAAAGGCGCGCGAATTTACGAGTCGCGCAGTAGTAAAATGTATCTCGCGCTGTGTCATCCTTTCGACATTCAGGATTTGAACGCCGAGCAGTTGCAGTATATACCGAAGGTCGTACTCTCTTACGCGTGTACGGTGACTATATCGACTACGTGTGGGACAAGCTTCCGGAATACGTGAAGACGGATTCGGAGATTCGAACGTATCGTCGCTGCGACGAACACTACAATCAGTCGTGGCAGAGGGCACACATCGACGGCACCTAAGATAAAGGACTGTAGCGAATGTCAGCGTCAGACGGCAGTCTGTTGAATCGAGTGATAAACGCGCTTTCTTTCGAGTTACATATTCCGGGTTATTCCAGTTTTGCGGCCCGGGCATTCGGCTTACGAAGCGATTAGCCAGAGGTGACGCGGGCATAAATCCGCTGGACGCGGCGTGCTGAGAACACGACATCGCGGAGCAACGATCTCACCGATAGACACGCGGCAGACAAAGTACTCACCGAGGAGGCGCGGAAACGCGTCACCGCGAGAGATTCGGCTCTGAGCGAGAGAGCCGCCGCTGCTGGTATTTGGGTAGCG